GTAACAGACCTGGGAACGGATGCCGATTAACGATACTTTTTGGTAAGCCCAAGGCCAGCCCCAATTCACGAACTTCATCCTTGTGAAAATCTTTCAGTGGTTCGATCACTTTTCCCTGAAAATTAACTATTAATCACTTAATACGTTTATGCATCTCTATTAAACATCAATTCTCATTTAAAAAGAATTGTTTTCGAGTCTGCGAAGAGCACACTGCCTTCAGTAACAAGCTAATTTGAGGAACCGCCGTGCTGAGTTGCAATAACATCAGTCATCCGTGATAGCTTTCTGTGAACTCAGGCCCTATAATGTGTCTTGGGTCAGATTAGTGGTGTTTTACTGATCAGTTATACCCATCTCGATAGATTCAGGGCCCTGTAAAACTGTACTAAAAATGACCAGTGAAGGAAGCAGGGAATAGAAAATGTTGATAAGTACTTAAAACAACTAAACAGTTCAAAGGAATGAAAAAAATGGGGAACTGGGAATTTAAGCGCTGAGATCGAATTTGGGAAGTTCACAGTCACAGCTGGGAAAAGATGCAGCTACCCTATTTCTGAAGCCAAAACATAAAAAAATACTTTAAGGTAAAGCTGGAAATATCAACTCAGACAATAACAATAAAGCGATGATCTCCTGTACTTGAACCTCGTGGATTATATTTCAAACTCCATTGAGAATGGTACCGCAGTTGAGCATAGGAAGCTGAACAAATGGAAGCAAGGAAGAATAACGACTGTTGGCTCACTATACTATGAAAATCAAAATAACTGGACAACACACGGCCCATTTCGAGGATGAGGGCCCATACGTGCATGTAGATTATGTCCCCAAAATTTCAGCCCTGCAGCTTTTATAACTCTTGAAAGTGCGTGACAGACGCACACACAGACACACAGATGCACGGACACACAGAAAACCCCTCGTCAATATGCGTTTTTGCATTGCACAGCTGCAAAAAACGCATAAAAAAAAAGGGAAAAATAGAAGTGGCAACATCTTTCATACCAAGTCCCTTAATTCGCGAACAAGCGCACTATCGTTGTGGTGAGTTTTAATAACATCGGCATGTCCACTGGCCAGTTCTGATGCACTTTCAATAAGATCAGGCCTCAGTGTGCCTTGCGCCAAGAAGACATCTTTATCCAATTTCAACTAAAAAAAAAAAACTTCAGTTTTTTGAAAGCCTGTAACGTATGCCAATATTTTAAAACAATAAATAA